TACCTCTGTTGATAAGCCAGCTCCGAGAGCAACTTGTCTAGTAGGATTTTGTCCCAGACCAGCCTGTAAAACAGATCCCATAATTACCTCTTCAACTTGTCCTAATGAAAGATTGGATCTCTGAATGGCTTCCTTGAGTGCAACGGAACCAATTTTTATGGCAGAGAGTGATGAGAGGCTTCCTCCATTAGATCCGATTGGTGTTCTAACAAAGGAAACAATATAGGCTCCTTGATCTCTTAGTATTTGCATTTTTTTATTTTAAACAATTTAAAACCAATTCAAAAATTAGATAAATAAATTCAATCTATTTTAAAATAATTAAACATCTCTAAGGTCGTTCTGATAAAAGAGACATTAAAGCTACAATTTATTATTTTAAAATAATTAAATATCTATTTATTGATTGACTAAGACTACTATTTACATTCTTAAAAGAGATTTTTTTGAAATTATTCTAATGGTCGAATGGAAACTTCTTCAGCAATCATTTCCTTGACACCTGTTCCATCTTTCATTTCAACCATCAAGTTACCAAACTTGGAAATACCAACAGCTTTGGCAGTATATGATGGTGATTTATCTGATGGTGATATGGTAATATCCTTTCCAATAAGAATATCATGTGATTTGTACAGAGTAATTACATCCTTTTGTGAAAATGCCAATAAGTTTTCCAAAGTATTACACAATTGAGCAAGAAATTTTTCTCTATCTACACTCTTATTAGTAGCATCAAGGAATGAAATGGCAACATTTGGAAGAGCATTTTCACCTTGGGTAAGTGATGTACTCTTGAATGAACTATTGAGATTAATTCCAATTCCTGCCAATGCAAATAAAGTTTCTCCAGATTGTACACTATCAATTAACATTCCACTAATTTTAGATGGAAGTGAATCCTTTTCGTTTGGAATGACCCAAACATCATTTGGCCATTTAATTCCACAATTTTCCAATCCTTCATCTCTCAAAGTAATAGTAATTGCCAAAGGAATTGCCAAATTAAGTTTTATCAATTCCTGTGCATTATCCAATCTAACATGAAATACAATAGTAAAATACAAATTCTTTCCCTTCCCTGCACTACTCCATTCTCTACCTCTCCTTCCCCTTCCTTTGGTTTGTTCCTCTGCCAAGATGAGTGTTCCAGTCAAACAACCCTCCTCAGCCTCTCTCCTTCCAATGTCCATTGTTGTTTCCACTTGATTCCGATACACGATCGATCGTCCTATATAACTTGTTTTTAGTAATTCTTGAAAACGTTTAATACAAAATAGAGAGTCTTTGGTATTGGCGTAGATTTGTTCCATTTTTTTTAAATATTCAATTTAAATATTATTTAATACCGATTGATTTAATAATATATAATAATAATAATATTTTAAATATATTGAAAATGTAAATAATGGATTAATCATTCCAATTAATTTGGAGAGATTTTACCTGTTATTGATGATGCTGATAATGCTTGAATAGTACAATTCCGAACAGTAGAAAATGTTCTTCTATTCATTTTCATATTATTATTTTGGAAATGATGATTTAATTCTCCTCTGAATTTTAAAGATTTGAAATAATTCATTTTTTCTTAATTTCGTCTTTAAAAAAATACAACAACTGTTTGAGGGAAACAGTTAGCGTCTTTGGCTAGAGGCCAGGTGCTAGCAGCACAGAGGTTGATCAACTACCAAAACTTGAGCATCGGGTTTAGAAGTCAGAGCAAATCGCGTACTCATATTAGCATGGAGGGTAATATAGTACAACTACCTTACGGTTCAAAGGTTTAAAGTAGATTTGGGTTGATCAACATGGGCAAAAATAAAATAGCTAAGGTAATAGGAGAAGTGGAGAGTAATGATTTAATTATGAAAAGAATTTGAATGTATTGTAAAACGAAAACACATTGGTTCGTTGATATTGGTGAAGAATTAATTATTAGCATAAGACAGAATGTTCCATCCATTCCGCTCGGTGTCGTTGAGCAGGCACATAGAAGACTTCCTGGTTAACTCTTATAACATCTTTATTAAGTGTATTCCTATTTATGGATAATCAAAAGGTTTAGTTTCGTTCCAAATCAAGCTTGAAGGCTAGGCGATAACTCCAATGTCTCTACAAAAGTCCCCTTCATTTTAAATAATGATGTATCTGTGAAAGAAGCGCTGCTTCCTGCGAACTGTTTACAATTGGAGATCATTGACTTCACGTCTTTGAAGCAGGAATCTGAATAGATTCGTATTGTAAACGTAATAAAACATTACCAGATTTTTTTTCTTAATTTCATGTAAATTTCATCATCAACAAGAGAGAATAGTGCAAAGATTTATTGTTGTTGAATTGACTTTTCCTTATCTCTATTGAGTAATTCTAACACATTGTGTGTTACCCAACTATTTGTCGGTATCTGCAATGGTTCTGCATACTTGTCCATTAAAATTTCATCTCCCTCTTTGAATTTTTCAATAAAGAGTGATTTTCTCTTTTCACTCTTGATGGATTTGTAAGTATTGTTGGAGATGTGTAATTCATTAGTAATTCCAGTCATTTCCATTAGTTGAGCAATTTTAACATCAGACCCAAAGAGATCGTACGTTCTCTTCACTTTACCAACGACAGCTGCAATGACATCACCTCCTATTGAGGTGTGAATTCCAACTCTAACTTGTAAACTATTTCCTGTTGATTCTGAAAATTGATTCACTGTTGTAATCATTAAAAGA